TCTGTGTTTCCTTTAAGCAAAACGAAATCTCTTGCCAATGCAAGAAAAAGAAAAAAAAATTAGTATTTCTCTTTGAAGATAATGAGGGCGTGATTTGGCTCTTCCTTTGTTATGAGGTAGCAAGTTAGGAAAAACACGCTTTAAATATGCAAAGTATGGTCTGACCTCATCTATCAGAGCAAGATCACACCTTTGATGATGCATGGTTATTAGGCTATCTGCATCACACTTGTCCAAAGAACCAGGTCTACAAAGCAGGTGGGGGAGTTTGCAGTGAATCACCAATGAGGAAATGAACAAAGGAGAAGCAGCCTTCAAGAGCCTGCTCTGCAAACAGATGTGGTGTTACTTCAGTGATAAGAGGAGTAGGAAATTAATTTCTTTAATACCATGAAACTTAAAAATCAGAAGATGTATCTCAAATTGAAAAAGAGCAAAGAGAGTTCAGCTCGAAATTTCTTCCAGCTTCCCATTTTCAGATTTCAGAATTTATACAGGCGATAATCAGTCATCAAATACCCACATCATCCCCAAAATGCAAGCTTTACGTGCTGGAGACACTGCAATGCTACAAAGTACCAATGTCAGAAACTCCAGCGTTTGGGGCTTTGGCAGGCTGCCAGGAATCCCACACTGATGGAGCTCAGGACATGCCACCCCAAAACGTGACTACAGGAGACCAGCACGTGCCACCTCAAAATATGCCTCTTTGCCATAAGGATAATTTTGACCTGTTACTTTAAGAAACTGCAGATACAAGAAAAGTCCTGAGAAAGTTAACTCTTATCAGAGAAATTTACATTTAGAAAGGAAATCTCCATTTGTAAGGGTGTCTCCTTCTCCTTACCAGAGAGAGAAAGAAAGCTGAATCACTAAACAATCAATGGAGAAAGCACTCCTTAAATCTGCATAACAAACCTTACCTTTGTTTTACAGTGATTTGGTGAATTCCTAGCCATCTTGTCTTAACCAGGCCTTCCTTCTACCCTTCTCATCCCTTTCTTTCTTTGTTTCAGAAAATATTTAAGCCTGAAGTCTAAGACAACTCTTGGAGATCTACTGTAGAGTTGTATTCATTTCACTTTGTTAACTCCCATGTATACAGGATGTATATGTGTTATTATTAAACTTCTGTTTGGTTTTCTCTTGCTAATATGTCTTTTGCTACAAAGAGTCCCAGCTAAGAACTCATGAAGGGCAGAGAAGAAAATTATTTTTCCTCTCCTACAGCATGCGTTACCTCTCATCTTCAAAATAACTCAGCAGGGCACTGTTTTCTTCTTTTATACAGACGATCACATTATGGTTCAGGGCAGTTAGGTCACTTGGCCAAGGTCATCCAGCTAAAACTTGGCCCAGGTGGGATCAACAGATCAAAGGAATACTACCAGCCACAGGGAAGGCAGCTTAATTAGCCAGGTGTCTTGCAGGCAGTAACAGGAGGGTTGAAAAGGTGCCTGCCTCTGTCTCGCCCTGAAGACACCTTGTGGATCTTCCCTTTCGTAAGGCCACAAGTCCCAGGTGGCTCCTTGCTATACCCATTTCTCAATTTTGACAAGTTATTTGAGACCTGTGTTGTGAACACAGCCTGCTCTAGGGCAGTAGAGAGACCCGTCTGCATTCCAACACCTTCTGGGGACTGAAAACTGAAAACCACTCTGCAGCCAGACAGAGGCTGATTTCCATATGTTGCAAATCATGTCAAGTGTCACAGCCAAGATGCAAGAACTCCCAGTTGTGGCAGCAGGGACAGGCGATGGGAGTTGGAGGAGCTGCCTTTGGCTCAGAGACGAAGCAGGAGAATGAGGCCACGACCTCCTTATGACCCTTGGCCCACGAATGACAGATTCCCCCGAGTGCTTTCATCTTGTCAGATTCTACGTCTGTGAGCTCAGCCTTCACCTGGAAGCCAAGCAGCTGAGCAAAAGGGAAGGTAAAAGAATGACTAGGGCCAGGCGTGGTGGCTTATGCTGGTAATCCTAGCACTTTGGGATGCCAAGGCAGGCAGATCCCCAAGAAGGTGAAAGCCCATCTCTATTAAAACACAAAAAAATTAGCCAGGTGTGGTGGCAGATGCCTGTGATCCCAGCTATTCAGGAGATGGAGGCAGAGGTTGCAGTGAGCCGAGATCACACCACTGTACTCCAGCCTGGGTGACAGAGTGAGACTCCATCTCAAAAAACAAACAAAAAAGGATGAGTGCGATGATGGGGAGGGAGGCTTGTGAGCTGCTGCTGTCATGACCAATGACTCTATAACCTAGGAGGGACACGTGGGCTACCAGAACACTGCATGGACAGATGCTTCAAAACTCTGGGGACAGTGACACCTCACCACTGGAACTTCAGAAGGATGCTTTCCACCTGTCCCAGCACTTCGCCTTAACATCTCTGCCTCTGAGGACTATAAATAGGCAGAAATGGATATGCCCACATGACAGATGGGAATACTGAACCTGTAAAGAACAAAATGGCCTGCTCATACAGGAGAGCTACGGTAGCCTGGGAAAAGAATCGCTCTCTTCACTGTCTCCTCTGTACCATTTCCCATACTGGGGGTGACCACAGCAGCTTTCTGGGATTGTCACAGTGTTCTTCTGAAGTGGGTGGTGGGGCTCCCATTTCAGGGCTGGAGAAACTGAGAGTGAGCCTGTCAAAGAGAAAAAGAAAATAAGTCCCTGTTGAGTGCCTTGTGCTGGGGGTGTTACACAGATATAAAGACCACATGATATAGAAACAGGTAGCAGAGAGAGAAGTGGTCTGGGAGTTCCACGAGCTAAAAGACCCTTAGAGATTTGCTGTCCCTCCTCCTTAGATGAAAACAGCAAGAGGAAGGAAAGACAGATGATGACCCTCCTGCCAAAGTAAAACACTCCCCATTTCCGTACCTGTCTTGCCTCAGGGCCAGCATTGCTGGGAGCAACAAGCTGAGTGCTAGGTGCTGTGCACAGGTGGGAGAGGTGGACACAGAAGTCCCATCCCATGGCCTGCCACACCAGGGGAGGAAGGGAAGAAAGCCATACCTGCTGAGTGTGAATGGAATGGGTATTGCATGGAGTTGCGGTGTCTTTTTACTGTCTCTACATCTGATCATCGATATCTATCTTGGATTTTTTTTTAACCATTCAATAAACCTCTTAACATAAACTTGCTTTCAGAGTGGTTTCCTTGGGTTTCCTTAAATTATGTAGTATTTTATATAAAATGAAGTATACATTAGGTATACACAAGTTATAAAGCAAAATCATGAAACTCAGACCCGCAGAACACTTGGCCTGAGAAGTAGAATGTCACTGAAGTGCTAAGGCCCCCCAAAGGCTTCTCTCTCAGAATTTGGCCCCTAGCAATATATTCTATGCAACTAATTTTAACAAGAGCTCATGAAAAAAATTATCTTGCAGTGGGTGCTATAGATCCTATTGGTTCATTTAATCCTGTCCCCATTTGACAAATAGCTATGTCAAATGTAGAGGGATTGTAGAGGGGTTGAGTAACTGAGTCCCTCAACTGGTGCCCCATGGAGCCAAGATGTGTCCCTGGAACTGCCTAACACCCCCTAGATGCAGTACGTTGCATAACTCCAGGGGGCCCTTTTAGCAGGCAGTATATGGGCCTGATGCCTTCCTTTGGGGGCTGTGTGATGTTGGGGTCCTTCCAAGACTCCTGCTTTTATCTCTTCACCTTGCATCCAGGGTGGGGCTGATATTTAAACCTTTGCCAGGACAGACTAGCTGCTTTTTAAGAAATTTGACACTGCTGGTGTACTGCCTGAGTCTTACTTGTTTTATTTCCTGTTATCTTATTTGTGACAGTGAACCAACTCAAAATTCCTTTCAACTCAGATGGCCTCCCCATGCAATATCACCCTGGAAAAATCACATTTTGAATTACTGTGAAAATGTCTTGCCTGCTTTATTGTCCCCAGCAACCAGAAAGAAACGTAAGCGCTGAGTGATATGACAGTTTGGAAGAGGATGATGAGAAACTCTAAATGAGATTTTGGCTGTTAACCAGGGTTACTGCACAGCTGTATTAATCGGACTCGAAGTTAAAATGCAGCAAGGGCGAGGGAATAAAAGAAAGGAACTGTGTCTCTTGAGCACCGACAACATGCCAGGTACTGAGAGGAAGATTTTTCATACACATTACCACGTTCAATTGTCACAGCAGCCCTGGAGGCAAAAAGTTTTTAATCCCCATTTTACAGATGAGCAAACTAAGTGTCCCGCCAAAGGGCAGCAGCTGGTCAGTTTGTTGACCTGCAATTAAACTATTTTCTTCTGATCCAAACTCCTGGTTCTTTCAGCATTATAACTTGATGATCTATGCTTGCTTAGAGGCAAAACTCATTAAGCATCTATTGAGTGTGAAATTCACAGACGCATGAGGAATTTTGAGTCAGAGGACTTTCTAATACAGCAAATAACCCTATCTCCAAAATGAGGAAGGAGCTTCAGAGATCATCTTGTACCCATTCCTCTGCTTGGTGGTGCAAGAACCAAATTGGTGAGGAGACTTGGTGAAGCCACATCCTTCAAAGGGTCCCCTTCTTCTGGGACATATTCCCTGCTGTCCAGAGTAACTTATAATTGCATATTCATTGTCATATTAACTTCACATGCTAATTTTTTAAGTTAAATAAACTTTTTATCCCTAAATAATGTTAGATTACTGAAATTTCCAAAAATAGTATGATGACTTCCCATAGGCTCTTCATTTAGCTTCCCCTAATGTTAATATCATCCATAGTCATGAAGCTGTCCCTATAAACTATAAAATTAACAAATTAATCAGGGAAAAAGAGAGAGAAAAAAATGAAAATAAGCCAAGCTGGCAGCTCACTCAGCATTAATCCTAAGCCTGCTCCCTGACCTGCTTCCTAATAGCTGTTTGGTGCCTATTGTCCTAGAATTATATAGACCCTGTTACAAGGCTATTGTCCTCCTGAACTGCTCTATGGATAACAACTTGAACATTATAAAACATTGTTTTCCCTTTTAGACATTCTTTCAGGTCCTGTGTACCAGTGAAGCTACTGATGTCAGCTCGTCTGAAGAATCCACAGGTAGTCACTCACCAAATAACTCCATTTCTGCATTCTGATGTTTTCATCCCCTTTACCAAAAAAAATCAACAGCCCCAGTTTTCCAGTCCCTCATCCTCCACTAACCCCTTAAAAATTCCATCCCAGAACTCCTCAGGGAGACATATTTGAGGATCTCTTCCTGTCTTCCCCGCTCAGCACCTTGGAATCATTAAAATCTTTCTCTCTGCTGCAAACTCTGCTGTCTCAGTATAACTGGTATGTTACTACACAGTGGGCATTAAAAACTTAGTGGTTCTACCATAGCTATGGTAGATTTGCCAAAACTGAGACAGTATTGAATATCATCAGTTTTTGTCACTGTTGTTGTTGTTGTTTGAGACGGAATCCCACTCTGTCGCCCAGGCTGGAGTGCAGTGGCATGATCTTGGCTCACTGCAACTTCTGCCTCCCGGGTTCAAGCAATTCTCCTTCTCAGCCTCCCAAGTTACTGGGATTACAGGTGCACACCACCACACTTGGCTAACTTTTTTGTAATTTTAGTAGAGACGGGTTTCACTGTGTCAGTCAGGCTGGTCTCAAACTCCTGACCTCAGGTGATCCACCCACCTTGGCCTCCCAAAATACTGGGACAGTTTTGTTACTAACATCTTTTTCTCTTCCAGGATCCAATCCAGGATTTTAGTTGCTAATTTGATTATTTCTAAGTTTCTTAACTTTAAAACCAACCTGTGTGTGCCTATTCACTAGGCAATGAGAGTTCCCAAAAGGCAAAGACTCCAATTAACAACCACAAGACATGCATTTACTAAATGTGCACAAGCAATACAGACTTAGCAAAGGTTTGTTATATTGCTGTTGATCAATACAAAGACCTTAAAAATGGCACCAAAGCCACAGCCTTTTCCATCTCCCCATATTTCCATTAAAATTATGTACAGATAATCTGTGTACACAGATAATACACATAACTGTGTGTGTAATGCATACCTACACATATGCATTTTAAAAACACATATAGGCACATTCTCCATGACTAAGATACCACTTCAAATCAATTGGGAAACGTTGGGCAATTCAATAAATGGTGTGAGAACAACTGGCTATTCATTTGACATAAGTAAATAATGACACCTATCTACTTCAGACCTAATATTTCTAAAAATAAGTCTCAGAATTATTAAAGTGTCAAATATTGAATAAGCACAAGTATCAAATTATTAAAAGAAAACCCAGATAAATATATTTACAATGTTGTGGTAAATCAAGGCTTTTTAAACACAAATGCTGTGAAAAGAAAGAGTAAAACATTGGATTACAAACTTGGGTGACAAATATTTTCAAAACATATAGCAGACAAAAGATTAACGATGAAAACACATAAAAATGTCTACAAATCAATAAGTAAAAGACTAAATAAACCAACAGAATAATGACCTACAGGTTTTTATTCACAGAAACAGAAGTACACACAGCCCATGCATATTAAAGAATATTTTCCCTCACAGTAATCAGGAAACAAAAATTGGAGCAATGACAAGATGTCATTTTCACCCACAGGCTTGCCACTGGTTAAACAAATGTGTGTAAATGTGGAGTTTGGGTGAGGGTGAGGGTAAGACTTTTGCAGACTTGAATGACTGGAATGAGTTGAGCTGTTGGAAGAACTGCCATGAGGAGCAAGCTGACCTGAGGGTAATTTGTCCTGAACCATCAAAGACAAATCCCACATATGCAGATAACAATTGCTGCCTTTTCAGCCTCTAATCTGGGCCTAAGTGGTACTTGAGAGATGGGCATGGCCCAGAGGTCTCTGCAGACTCAAACCAGAGTACCAGAGCCTAGAGTCCAGGTAGGAACTTAGCCTTTAACTCAGGAGAAACATAGAAAATGCTCCTGGTGGGTGCTGAGTCACTGCATCCGGGTGCCCCTGGCCCATCCTCACCCCACTACCATCTCTACTCCAAAGTCAAAGCGCTAAAATCTCATGAGGGTTTAGGAAGAAAGGCAGGAGACCCTCAGCAGCAAAGATGGCTGAGGATGCTGCTAGCTGCTCCCTCAGACTCACAGGCACGTGTGCAATTTACAACCAGGTCTTAGAGCCCTGTCGGAGGAGAGCCTCATCCCTGCCTTTCTCAGGGCTGGCTGTCGGGTTCTGCCCTCTCAAGAAGTACCCCAAAAATGCTTTCTAAGAAAACCACCCTCAGTTGCTCCCCTAGACTCCCTCCCTTCTCTATGAAGTTTTATTTAGAGCCTTAATACTGAGAGGCCCTGGCGCAGCACCCATCAGGGGTCATATTTACTGTGTTCCTCATGAAACATTGTGGCTGCCGTAGAGAAAGGCCAAGCATTTCAGGCTCCTTCTGGGAGCATTTGCATGACTTATGAGGTTTATTTAGGGCCTAGGAGTGCCTTCCTTGAGATGGAGAGAGGCCGGGCCTCCTGGCCAGAGGCCAGGTCAGTAATATGCCTGAAAATGTGCTGGCAAGCAGCTGTGATGCTCTCCCCCCATGGCAAGGCAGTTTATTCTGGAATCTAAAGATCTGGGGCAGGTGTGGGGTGGGAGAGGGCTGTAAAAATGAGGAGTGAGGACCTGAAAAATATTCTTGAGGAAATAGCGTAAAAGCCCTCAAATCCAGACTTTGTAGCTGCTAAACAGGGCCATTTCCAGGGCTTCGACTAGTAAAGTACAAGACCTTCTAAATGGCATTAGCTTAAATTAGTAAAGTTGGCAGCTGGATGTGCAAACCTCAAAACCAAGGACATGTTGGCAGAGAGAGTGTTCTGTTGTGTTATTGGGTTTAAATGCTCTGCAGACTCCACTCTTCATTACAGTCTACACCCAGCATGCACTGTCCTCACCAGCCTGCCTATGGAATGCTGCTGTTTGAGACCTGGTATTAAAAAAAGATGACTGCCTACTTTATTTCATTTTATTTTTGAGACGGAGTTTTGCTCTTGTTGTCCAGGCTGGAGTACAGTGGCATCATCTCAGCTCACTGCAAACTCCACCTCCAGGGTTCAAGCAATTCTCCTGCCTCAGCCTCCCAAGTAGCTGGGATTACAGGAGCCTACCATCATACCCTGCTAATTTTTATATATTTAGTAGAGATGGGGTTTCACCATGTTGGCCAGGATGGTCTCGATCTTCTGACCTCAGGTGATTCGCCCTGCTCAGCCTCCCAAAGTGCTGGGCTTATAGGTGTGAGCCACTGTGCCTGGCCTGACTGCTTATTTAATGCATGGAAAAAGACTTTCAAAGATGTAGCTATCAAATCATTTCTAGTTGTGCATTTGGTGGCTCTTTCTTGGTGGAAAGAAGAAAAATATGTGAAATTGAGACCATGGTCTGCATTCTGCAGCCAAACAGCCTGGAGACACTAAAGCTGACCTCTGCCTTCCCTACTCTCCTCCCCATATCTGACCACATCCTCTCTCACTTCTACCCCTCAGGTGCATGGCCCTTTCCACAGTCTCAGTTCTGCTCTGTCACTGTCCCAGGCATCCCCTGGACTGGGGCAGGGATCTCCTGTCTGGTTCTCCCTCATTCCCTGGGGGGCCCTCTAATCCATCCTCCCACACTGCAAAGGCACAGGATTTTCTGCCAGTCCCTTTATTCACACCATTCTTTCAGTATTTAACCCCTGCCCACCACTCAGGTTGCATCTACTGCCTCTGCTCCAAAGCCAGCCCATTCCCCCAGATCCAAGCTACAGCTGGGCTCCAGATGTGCTGTTTGACTCTTCCAACCTTTTAGCTAAACTGTTTCCACTGAAACCCCAGCCTCTTGTCTTCCTCAGATTTACCTGCTTCACCCTTCAAAATCCATCCCATTGTTCCTTTTCTGGAAGGTCCCACAGTACCTCCAATTTTGCACTGTAAGTGGCTCTACCTCAGTGAGCTGTTTACACACCTGTCCCCAGCTAGATGTTATATTGGTTTTGGATTCCTGTGTCTAAAGCTTCCTGGCTTCTAGATCATGCTCAGCAGAAGAGGGGAAAACAAATTAGTGAATAGATGGTTTGAGATCTCAAATCCCTGCAAGCAGCTAGAAGAGTTGGGAATTCAAAGACATTGGTCAGTGATGGTTTATAGATGGGATTTCATAGAAGATGGGGATGAATTCAGGGCCTGGGCCTCTCAAAAATGCAACCCCTCTCCAGAGTGTTAAAAAGATAGGATTACCCACCCCTGGCATCATCGAGCAGAATGAGTGCAGGAGCCCCTCATCCCAAGCACAGCACAGAGCATGCCCCAGGACAAGCCAGTCTCTGCTGTGGCCCTACATGATGTGTCATGGGGAAAAGTGGGGGCTAATGGAAACTGAGCAGAAGCAGCCCTGTCCATACTCTAGGTCTAGAAATAACTTCTACTGTGTGGCAAAAAGCAAAACCAGACATCCAGCTTGGGATATGTCTGGTGCTGAACATCAGAGTCCATTATCTGGTTCTGCTGAAGACCCACACATGCCAGAGCCAGTGAGAGATCCTAGCCAGGCAGCCAGGCCTGCCTCCTAACACAATGTTACCTGAGCCTTTGGCCTGCGCAGGAAGCCGCCTCTGGTAGGGACGCCAGGTCCTGCTCATGAGGCTTGGGTTCAAATTCCAGTCTTGTCTTTTCCTTCTTCTGTTATGTTGGGTGGGTCACTCTCATTTCTCTTCCTTAGTTTCCTTATCTATGAAAAGAAAAAGAAAAGAAAAGAAACAGCCAATGAGATTCCCACAGTTCCTCCTAGCAGTGACTTTCTGGAGGGCACTTCTTCCTTGACCCAACCATGGAACCCCCACCTCTGAAGCAAAGGCTTCAGAGACTCAAGTGGAAGGATGAGATTGGATGGTCATGGGCAAGAACTACCAGGCATTTTCCAAAATGAGTTTGGTGGTATGTAGACAGGTTAATAGGAATTGGAGGTAGTGAGGGTTCTTTGTTCATGTAACTTTGCAGGACTTCTCATAGCCTTTAGTAAGCAAATAAATACCACAAGCAAACTGTGAATTGTCAATTATAAGACATGGATCCCACCATATTCCAGTCTTATCTGAGCATGCATTTTTTAATTCCCTCTAACAGAAATTTTCCAGGACCAATTATTATGTAGAAACACTGGTAGGGGAGAAATCATTATAAAATCTGAACCAAATCCTAGGTCACCATTTATCTATGTTAACATGGGTATATTTCAGGCTTAGTTTGCTGGATGAAAATGAAAATGTTTATCATCTCTAACTAATGGCGTCTTTTTTGTTT